TTGCACACTAGTTTCTTTATTAGCTTTCTCACCCTGTCAGAGTAAATGAGACAGATGTATGTGAATGCATGTGTGTGTATATATATATGTATATGTGTGTGTGTATGTATATATATGGGTATAAAGTATATATGGAAGCTGATCAGAATTACATTTCACGTTTGTGAATGTACATTAATGACACTATGTAAAAGACACATCAAACACTTCATGTAGGGCATACGTAAATCTGTGTATCTATGTATTTACGTATGTAGGTTAGCTTACCATTTTAAAAGCACCGAATCACCTTCTGTGGTTGAGTGTTCAATAAACCCTTGAACTATATGTTTAACATTTCTCTAACCCTGTCCATGGAGGACAGAAGAAAATGTATATATGCTGGTTAGCATTATAAATGTGTGGCCACGTCTGTGGTAGAAAAAAAAAAAAAAAAAAAACTGCTTAAGCGACCCAATAAGGCATTATCTGGTAGCTGATCGTCCCCACAACACACAAAATGTGTAGAAATAAATATACTACTTTGGGATAACTAGCCCAGAACGAAGCGTTTTCCTGACAACTATGCATGAAGAAGTATTCTATAATCAATAATTTCATTTCATAATTTAACGTTGGTTAGTTGCTATGGATGACTGCTGGAGTGTGGTGGTGCAGGAGGAGCACTCTTGTGGGAAAGTTGACACGCTAATTGTAAGTGACTCCTTGTTATCCTTGACTGTCCTCAGCTCCCCAAGGCATAACTGTGACGTGCTTATCTCTGAAGCTAGACACAGATAGAATGAAATAATCAGTGATGGAGTTAGAGTTTGTCTCCTTTGGATTCCTTCCCATATTGGTCTCCGAAATCATGATAGAACTGATTAGTTGTCCAAGACTTTTGCTCGTAAAGAGGGAATTAATTACCAACTTGGACTGCCTTTGAGCAGCCTGAGGGCAGTAATATTCCGGGAACATCAACTAAATTTCGGAGACTTGATTCAAAGTGAAATTCACACCATTTACTCCATCTATCATCATTCTATTATGCAGGAGGTACCGCACGTCTATAGGTCGTCCAATAAGGTTAGCAGACGTCTAGATGTTACCACTGCTAGACTTAGGCTCGGCTACAAGTACTCTGGGAATTTGTAACATCTGCTGATGTAGATTTGACTAAGTGATTTGACTGCCAACGGCCATACCACGTTGAGAAGACCGCTTCTCGTCCGATCAGCGAAGTTAAGCAACGTTGGGTTTGGTTAGTACTTGGATGGGTGACCGCCTGGGAACACCAAATGCTGTTGGCAATAATGTTTAATGGGCCTCGTAGCCTGGTGGATAGCGCGCAGGACTCGTAATTCTGTGGCGCGGGTTCGATTCCCGCACGAGGCAGAAACAAATGGGCAAAGTTTTTTTCACCCTGAATGCCCCTGTTACCTAGCAGTAAATAGGTACCTGGGAGTTAGTCAGCTGTCACGGGCTGCTTCTTGGGGGTGGAGGCCTGGTCGAGGTCCGGGCCGCGGGGACACTAAAACCCCCAAATCATCTCAAGATAACCTCAAGATAAGTGTAAACTCTGTCTGCAGAACTATTCGCATACTTTGCATCATTATATAATGGAATGTGAACAAATCGCGGAATTTAGACATAACACCATCAATAGTGTCCAAGAAAGGTGTAAGTACTTCATTCATAATGATGTGCTTGCCAAAATCTTAGTGAAGTATCTAAAATTTGCTTACTGTAAGTGATGCATACACATGACTGTAAAGGTGTAAAGCTGCGGGTGGGTGTGCAGCAAGACTAGTAACTATGTGACTCATCATAGATGTAAAGTGCCTTGTATTATGACTGTTGTGAGCCTCTTGTTGAATCACTTGTGACACAAAAGATTATTTATGTGTGTATTTGTGTGGGTGATTAAATATATATGTGTATGTATATATGTATACGTATGTATATGTACATGTATGCATGAGTATGTGTACATGTATATATAACATTAATAGTTTTGTAACTAGCGTCAAAAGATTGTTATATGCTATAGCTAAACGAACTAGAGGGTTTAGTTCTTGAACCAATTATGTGCCTCTGTAATCCTTTACACCACCGCCCACGGGATGGGTATGGGGTGTATAATAAAGAAATAAATTGAAGAAATTGAACTGTTGTGTGAAATTTCCCTCACCTATATACATAAAATATTACACATATAATTTAAATTGTATTTGCACTAGGAAGATGCATCTTCCATTATTGTATTACTTTAATTATATTTAAATATTTAATTATAACTTTAAAAAGGAAGAATAATGAGTAATTCTTCTTAATTATCGTGTGTAGAGAAAGCCCTGTGACATATCATACGCCACATACGCAGGGAAGTTTGGAAGTGAATTATTCAAACTAACTCTTCTTATTACATAATTATTACACATAGATTAAATACTAATCAGTAAATAAATATTAATCTCAAATTATTAATAATAATATCCTAGAAGACTAAGTAATCAAGTGTTAACAAATGCGTTGTGGAAGAGAGGACATAGTGAGAGAGAGTGAGACATAGTGAGAGAGAGTGAGACATAGTGAGAGAGAGTGAGGCATAGACAGTGAGAGAGAGCGAGGCATAGACAGTGAGAGAGAGCGAGGCATAGACAGTGAGAGAGAGTGAGGCATAGACAGTGAGAGAGCGAGGCATAGACAGTGAGAGAGAGCGAGGCATAGACAGTGAGAGAGTGAGACATAGTGAGAGAGAGTGAGGCATAGACAGTGAGAGAGAGCGAGGCATAGACAGTGAGAGAGAGCGAGGCATAGACAGTGAGAGAGAGCGAGGCATAGACAGTGAGAGAGTGAGACATAGTGAGAGAGAGTGAGGCATAGACAGTGAGAGAGTGAGACATAGTGAGAGAGAGTGAGGCATAGACAGTGAGAGAGAGTGAGGCATAGACAGTGAGAGAGTGAGACATAGTGAGAGAGAGCGAGGCATAGACAGTGAGAGAGCGAGGCATAGACAGTGAGAGAGCGAGGCATAGACAGTGAGAGAGAGCGAGGCATAGACAGTGAGAGAGAGCGAGGCATAGACAGTGAGAGAGCGAGGCATAGACAGTGAGAGAGTGAGACATAGTGAGAGAGAGCGAGGCATAGACAGTGAGAGAGAGTGAGGCATAGACAGTGAGAGAGTGAGACATAGTGAGAGAGAGCGAGGCATAGACAGTGAGAGAGCGAGGCATAGACAGTGAGAGAGAGCGAGGCATAGACAGTGAGAGAGCGAGGCATAGACAGTGAGAGAGAGCGAGGCATAGACAGTGAGAGAGTGAGGCATAGACAGTGAGAGAGAGCGAGGCATAGACAGTGAGAGAGAGAGACATAGAGAGAGAGAGTGAGGCATAGACAGTGAGAGAGAGCGAGGCATAGACAGTGAGAGAGAGCGAGGCAGAGACAGTGAGAGAGTGAGACATAGTGAGAGAGAGTGAGGCATAGACAGTGAGAGAGTGAGACATAGTGAGAGAGAGTGAGGCATAGACAGTGAGAGAGAGTGAGGCATAGACAGTGAGAGAGTGAGACATAGTGAGAGAGAGCGAGGCATAGACAGTGAGAGAGCGAGGCATAGACAGTGAGAGAGCGAGGCATAGACAGTGAGAGAGCGAGGCATAGACAGTGAGAGAGAGCGAGGCATAGACAGTGAGAGAGAGCGAGGCATAGACAGTGAGAGAGAGCGAGGCATAGACAGTGAGAGAGTGAGACATAGTGAGAGAGAGCTAGGCATAGACAGTGAGAGAGAGTGAGGCATAGACAGTGAGAGAGTGAGACAGAGTGAGAGAGAGCGAGGCATAGACAGTGAGAGAGCGAGGCATAGACAGTGAGAGAGAGCTAGGCATAGACAGTGAGAGAGCGAGGCATAGACAGTGAGAGAGAGCGAGGCATAGACAGTGAGAGAGTGAGGCATAGACAGTGAGAGAGAGCGAGGCATAGACAGTGAGAGAGCGAGGCATAGACAGTGAGAGAGAGTGAGGCATAGACAGTGAGAGAGAGCGAGGCATAGACAGTGAGAGAGAGCGAGGCATAGACAGTGAGAGAGCGAGGCATAGACAGTGAGAGAGAGTGAGGCATAGACAGTGAGAGAGCGAGGCATAGACAGTGAGAGAGAGCGAGGCATAGACAGTGAGAGAGTGAGACATAGTGAGAGAGAGTGAGGCATAGACAGTGAGAGAGAGCGAGGCATAGACAGTGAGAGAGAGCGAGGCATAGACAGTGAGAGAGTGAGACATAGTGAGAGAGAGTGAGGCATAGACAGTGAGAGAGCGAGGCATAGACAGTGAGAGAGAGCGAGGCATAGACAGTGAGAGAGCGAGGCATAGACAGTGAGAGAGAGGCATAGACAGTGAGAGAGCGAGGCATAGACAGTGAGAGAGAGCGAGGCATAGACAGTGAGAGAGAGCGAGGCATAGACAGTGAGAGAGAGAGTGAGGCATAGACAGTGAGAGAGAGGCATAGACAGTGAGAGAGCGAGGCATAGACAGTGAGAGAGAGCGAGGCATAGACAGTGAGAGAGAGCGAGGCATAGACAGTGAGAGAGTGAGACATAGACAGTGAGAGAGAGCGAGGCATAGACAGTAAGAGAGAGCGAGGCATAGACAGTGAGAGAGAGCGAGGCATAGACAGTGAGAGAGAGCGAGGCATAGACAGTGAGAGAGAGCGAGGCATAGACAGTGAGAGAGAGCGAGGCATAGACAGTGAGAGAGAGTGAGGCATTGACAGTGAGAGAGCGAGGCATAGACAGTGAGAGAGAGCGAGGCATAGACAGTGAGAGAGAGCGAGGCATAGACAGTGAGAGAGAGTGAGGCATAGACAGTGAGAGAGCGAGTAATGAAGAATTTCACTTCTTTTAGTAAATGCAGAATATATATAGTTGTAAAATAGTGTTTTTTGTGAACAATTGTAGTAAATTTAAGTGCCAAAATAATGTTTGGCATCTGTTGACCAGAGCAAGCGAGCCAGAGATGGGCAGCTGTCAGTACTGTAGTGTGGTTGGTGCTTGACGCATGTGTGTTGGTCACCCATATAACCTCACAGCCAGTGACAAGCCGGTCTTCAGTTATTCAGCACATTCAGGAGGTGAGTAAACCAAGTCGTAGAGTGTGACGGCCTCGCTTTTTGCAGGGTTGGCGTTTGAGCCTCGCTGCTCTGAGTGGGTGGGCACTGTTCATTCACTCCCTCCTCATATCCCAGCTCTTATTCTCTCCTGAGATCCCAGCTCTTATTCTCTACTGATATCCCAGCTCTTATCCTGTTCTCATATTTACTTGAGGGCCACCACCTTTCTAGTTGCCTCGACGGGGACAGGAAGCCGGCGGTATTTCAGAGGTTCACTTTTGTTCTTGATGACTTCTTCCAGCTGGATTTTAAACTGCAACAATGTCTTGGCATTTATTGCTTCATCGGGTAAGCGTTTCTGTGAGTTTATCTCTCTCTCTCTCTCTCTCTCTCTCTCTCTCTCTCTCTCTCTCTCTCTCTCTCTCTCTCTCTCTCTCTCTCTCTCTCTCTCTCTCTCTCTCTCTCTCTCTCTCTCTCTCTCTCTCTCTCTCTGTCAGATAAAATATCTGCTTATCTGTCTGTTTGTCCAATGCTGGAAGCCAGACACTTAGGGCTAACTTCAGAGCTCCTTCCCCCACCTCGCTCTTTCCCCTCGCTCTGCCCCCCTTCACTCTGTCTGCCCCTCTGTCCATCACCCCTTCACTCTGTCGGCCCCTCTGTCCATCACCCCTTCACTCTGTTGGCCCCTATGTCCATCACCCCTTCACTCTGTTCCCACTTCATTCTTTTCACAACCCTTTCTCATTTCATCTCTGTTTACTTCTCCCACAAGCCATGTCTACTCCCTGATCCTGTAATCCACTAATTTCATTACCCCCAACCCTACCTCTCCCTATCTCCACAACCCTGCCTGCCACCAACTCTGCCTTCCTCCAACCTTGCCTCCGCCTCCCACCAACTCTATTAATGGTTGTTTAGTTGTGGTTGTAGCTCTCTTGTAGTGGGGACGGATGCAGAACAAACAGCTAGGTCCCTTTCTTCTTTACGAAGGAAAATATAATATTTACTGGGCCATGAACTAGCTATCAAGTGTGCGTGTGTGTTCTCAGGGAGACCGTGCCGTTACACCTGTGACCGCCTTAATTCCACATTCTTGTTATCCGGACGACGTAATCATCAATTTTCCGACGAGAAATAGGAATTCTGCTACTGGCTCGCCCCTTTTCTTGACCTTTCCTCCAACACTGCTGGTCTGGCTGCAGTCTTGACGACGCAGCTGGTGGGTAGTGGTAACCTCGAGACAGCTACCCCACGAAGGTGTTAGACGTTGACTTCCAGTGACTGCTTCAATGTGCACTCCCTCCTTGTTTGTTTATGGTCTGCCGTAACGCCTCCTTTATAAACTGGCGTTACTTGTGCTTTTTTTAAGGATATCAGGGAAAGCATGACACTAGAGATTTGTTGCAATAGCAGAGTTATGGGTGGTGACTGGGCATGAGCGGCATTCTTTTATACCCTAGATGGTATTTCACTAATGTTCCAAGCTTTGGTTCCCAGCAGTAGCTTGCAATATTTGTATGATATACATGGTGTAATTACCTAAATGAGTTACAGGGTTTCCCCATAAGAAATAATGGGAAATGAATTAATCCGTTCCTGACTACCAAGAACCTCACTTCAAACTAAATTTTATACCTAATTCATCTAAATCTACACTACAAAATTATGTTCAAGTTATTACTTACCCCTTGCTGATGACTGCTGTTGGCGTATGGAAGATGGTGAGGACGAGGTAGGAGGAGAGGTGTTACTGTTTGGAAGGGGAGTCCCCTTCCATTATAACATCAGGCAGTGAGGACTTCACTGGTGTGCACTCTCTGGCACGTTTTACCTGCATACCACTAGGACCTGCTTGTGGCTCACTGCTTGCTTGTCTTACTAAGAATCAAATCAAATCTGTCCACAAATGTGGTAATCTCACTGATGTCAACAACTTCAGACCTATATCAATTCTGCCAAACTTGTCAAAAATATTTGAAACACTTATCAACAAACAGCTTTACCCTTATCTAGCCAAACTCAATATACTTAGCTCTTGTCAATATGGTTTCAGACCCAAAAAATGCACTAACGATGCACTTATTAGTATGATTAACTTGATACATGCAGCGCTTGAAAAAAATGAGTTCCCTGTTTGGTTATTTGTGGACCTGCGTAAGGCTTTTGACACTGTCAACCACCAAAACCTTCTTCTTAAATTACATCATTATGGAGTCAGAGGTCACTCTTTGCAATACCTTAAGTCTTACCTTACTGACAGGCTCCAGTATATTTCTGTGAATAATTTAATTTCTCCCACCCTACCAATCAACATTGGTATTTCTCAGGGCAGCATACTTGGCCCTCTCCTCTTTCTCATCTATATTAATAACCTTCAAAATGCCTCCCAACACTTCAAACCAATTCTATTTGCTGACGGCACAACCTTCATTTACTCCAGTCCTGACCCCCTTGCTCTAAATGTCACAGTGAATACTTAGCTAAATAGAATCCATCTCTAGCTAACTGCCAACAAACTCGCCCTCAACATTGACAAAACTTTCTATATTTTGTTTGGCAATAACTCTAATCAAATAAATCTCAGGATAAAAAATACCCAAATTTGTAACAAAGTAGATGGCAAAATCCTTGCCGTTCTCATTGATCACAAGCTAAATTTCCAGGAACACATTCTAAATATATAAAAAAAAGTTCCAAAAACTGTTGGCATTCTTTCTAAGATCAAATATTATGTACCTCGCCCTGCCCTGGTGGCACTCTATTACTCTCTCATTTATCCTTATCTCAACTTTGGTATTTGGGCTTGGGGTTCTACTACCCAAAATTATTTACGCCCACTAATTACTCAACACAAAGCTGCTATTAGGACAATATCTAACTCTGGCCCCAGACATCACTCGGTATCCCTACTCAAATCTCTGAATGTGCTAGATATTAAGTCACTACACATTCTCTCATGTGTATTTTATATAAAACGCTGAACTGTAATGTCAATCCTGACCTTAAAGGCTTCCTAGATGTTGTAACAGAACCCATAAGCACCACCAGAAACAAATACCTATTAGATATTCCAAGAGTACGACTTAATCAAACTAGAAATGCTTTACAAATCAAGGGACCCAGACTGTTGAATGACCTTCCGAATGATGTTAAAGACTGTACCTCTCCCAACCAGTTTAAGATAAAAACTAAGTACTACCTAATTAACCCCTCAATGTCAACCCATGTCAACTATTTTAAACAATGCTGTTTGTTGACCAAATTGTATATTTGCTATTTTTCTGCCATGTTCCCTCCCCCCCCCCCCCCCCATTCACTTTTTATTTTTTTTCTCAACACAATTTATACTTTAATCTCAATTAGTATTAAGTTTTAGTCTTAGTGTTTTTCCTGCCCGAAACGCTTTGCGTAATAGTGGCTTTAGGCATTGTATGTACTAGCTCTAACTATAAATCCATCAATGTTTTGTATCTCACCTTGTATGTATGTACTTTACCTGAATAAATATTTAATTTGATTTGATTTGAATGTGAACAGCATACTGGCCCTGACAACCTCGTTAGTGAAGTGTGGTGTCGGCCGGTTGACTCGTGTAATGTTACCTACATCAAAGTAACCGATTTGCGAGTTACTTGGTCTGGTGGGGGAGGACTTTGTGTAACGTGCCTCCCCCTTGGTCTTTACAGACTAGGGTTCATGTGTGGCTGGAGCAATTGGACAGGTGTACCAATTAGATCTGGGAACAGACAGACAACAACATGGTAACTATGTTACAACATGGTAACATGGTAACTATGTTACCATGTTGATATTACCTTGGGTTTGTTGGATATAGATCTGTGTTTGTTACTGCATAGATATAACTCTGTGTTTGTTACCACATAGATATAACTCTGTGTTTGTTACCGCATAGATATAACTCTGTGTTTGTTACCGCATAGATTTAACTCTGTGTTTGTTACCGCATAGATATAACTCTGTGTTTGTTACCGCATAGATATAACTCTGTGTTTGTTACCGCATAGATATAACTCTGTGTTTGTTACCGCATAGATATAACTCTGGGTTTGTTGGAAGTTGGAACCCTAGAGCACGGTAAAGTCTGCTACCCGAGTTAAGTACAGTCAATAAATCCACATCATCGCTTCTTCAGAAAAATCTAATGAATTCTAAATGATACTGAACCATGGGAGGTACTTTACTGTTACTGTACAGTGCGAGATCTTGTTATCATGGGGTGGTGAGACTGCACTTGACTGATAAGAGCTGACAGAGGGTCATCCTCTCCACCTGACTCGTCACTTGAGTTCATGAGTCAGGAATTAGACTCACTGAAGACAGTTCTAATTCCTCGCTAGCATGATACTGTTTCAATTTATTGACATGGATTGTTCTTTCCACCTGGTCCTCAAATACCCCCTTTATGAAAAGATTGACCAGCCCCTATGGTGGTGAAGGGGGCCTATACGCGGCCCCCACCATCTAGGAGCGAGTTTCCTACTCTGATTAGCGGCTGCAGCCTCATTTACTCGCAACACATGGCTACCTTCCTTTAACTCTAGCAGCCGCACTTTCTTGTCATAAAAGTGAGCATACCGATCCCGTGCTTTTTTGGAAGCTTCAGCCGCAATACTCGAAGCATTCCTCATTTTACTGAGAACCTCTGAAGGTTCAATCAGCGTCTTTGAATGCTGATTTTTATAATGCTCGAAAGATCGAATGCTTTTATAATTCGAAAGATCGAATGCTCGATCTTTCGTACATTTCTTTTCACTGTTGGTGGTAATTCAAAAATCAATTCTCCAAAATTCATTTTTATTTCTAGTCTGATGCGACACTAGAGCGCGTTTCGTAAAACTTATTACATTTTCAAAGACTTTAGCTTACACATACACAACTGAATAGAACTTACACATCTCCGATTTGTTTATATCTACATTTGAGTGAGGTGGATGGGGTGAGGTGGAATTAATAGGGGTATTAAATTCATCAACACAAGACAGAACACGAAACAATGGGTA